GCTTCTCGGCTTTTCGGCATAGATTGGCTTCACTTACAAGACGAAATCCCACAAAAAACTTCACCTTCCCCAGAAGGCAAGGAAACCTAAACTGGGAAACTCGCAAGAATCTTTTTGTGGAAAAGAAACGGTGTCACTCTGTGTTATTTGTCCTTTGTTTGGAACTTGTAATTTCAACTATAACTGAGGTGGAACACTTTAATGTTTTTGCAAATAAAAACGGAAGCGATTTTTCCACACATGGGAGCGAACACTAATGTCCAAAACAGCGGAGCCTAAACCAGAACCAACTACAAAAGTAAAGCTACTGTATTAATTGACGATATAGGAACATCCGGAATGGGTAGATTTTGGATACCGTGTCAACGGATTCATAGATTCAAAAGTCCAAACCTGTCTCAGTCCTAGTGAAAACAATTTGATCGTAAAAGATGTACCCAAACCGCAGACGGTGCCAGGACATCCCTTCAATCCAAGAGAATGAAATATGTCCTCAACTCAGATGTCTCTTTGTCGGGGGGTAACTGTCGGCAGTCACCCCTTAGGATTTGCAATGGAATGTCATGGGATGCGTGCATCACCCACAAGATTCTTGCATATCAATCGCCGGAAGATACAAAATTAAACTGATGAACGTGCTCGTCGTCAAACCATCGCCCAGCTCGTAAGAACTGAGAACTGGGAAAATCGAATGATAATAGTAAAACAGCGTAAATTTTTGTGAGTATGTATTCTGGTAAAGCAATAAAATGACCATGGGCCAGCGAACCTTTGTCGGTGACAAATGGTGTTTCCTCTTTGAGAATGAATAATCTGTTTAGAAAACCCGGAATAAGTTCAGAGGTTTCGTTTCATCTTAAAGGAGTGTAGCGGTGAAAAAGGCCTCGTGATGCGCCAGTTGTTTCTGTGATGATAATATCTCCCGCCAGGCAGAGCATTGCATTTCGTCACTATACCACATGTTGGCACCCACTACCGAATTTAGGCGCGCAGCTTAACACATGAGTTGTTCGGCGGGTACTGAACAGAAAACCGAGCGGTCATGTTCTAGTCAAGTGAAAAAATGACCATGGGCCAGCGAACCTTTGTCGGTGACAAATGGTGTTTCCTCTTTGAGAATGAATAATCTGTTTA